ATATATTCACAGTAAAACTGATTGCACGTAAACACCGAATATCAACAGAATCCAAACTTACGATATGACTATATTAGGAGGATGGAGAAGGAGAATATATGTATATATGTATATGTGTAAGTATATGTATATAGATGGGATCTGGATAATAATAGAGCTAAAACCTCATCTTTATACCAGAAAGTCATTATCAGTTTATTTATATCTTAAACCAAAAAATAAATACAGCACTTTTAACATTTTATTTTAAAATATGAAGGTTAGTACTAAAAGAACTGGTAAGAGGGTTGAAAGAGGTTGCCTGGGGGAGGAGGAAGTAGACAGGAAGCAAGGGTGGGCAGAGGGAGTCCAGGAGACCTGTGGTTTGATTTTAGGCCCTGTAGTACTTATTTTACTTTTTTAAAAAATACATGATTTTTTGGGGGCTGGCCCAGTGGTGTAGTGATTAAGTTTGCCTGCTCTGCTTTGGTGGCCTGGGGTTCGAGGGTTCACATCCCGGGCACAGACCTGTACACCACTCATCAAGCCATGCTGTGGCAGCGTCCCACATACAAAATAGAGGAAGAATGGCACAGATGTTAGCTCAGGGCTAATCTTCCTCAGCAAGAAGAGGAAGATCGGCAGTGGATGTTAGCTCAGGGCTGATCTTCCTCACCAAAAAAAAAATAAAATAAAACATGATTTTTAAAAAAGCAGACTGACAGTACTTCAAAGTTAAAGCAAAGGCACAGAGGCATGAGTCTACAGGACAGGCATGGGTAGGAAAGAGAAAATAATCCAGAGACACTGGAAAATTAGATGGAGGTCATACTGAGAGGGGCATGCAGGGCCCTGCTGAAGAACTTAGAATTCACTGTGCTGTAGGTAACCCCAGAAGGTGGGTGAGCAGGGATGCCACATGTAGGGGAGTGTATTTTGGAGGGGATAGAAAGAGAGGGGCGAGACACCCAAAGCTGAAAGGCAAGGAGACTGGTTAGAAAATATTTTAATTGATAAAGTCTGAAGGAACTAAGCCATGTTCAGTGGGGATTAGACATAGGGATTAGACATATAAGAAATATTCCAGGTGGAGTTGACAGGATTTGGTTTACTAATATGATGTGGAGTGAGGGAGAAGGGAGTTGAGAAATGACTTGGACTTTTCCAACTGTGCCATCTGGGGGATTCTGATGCCAAAATTGGTTAGCCCAATTTTAATGGTCCTCCTCATTTCCCAGAGTTTCCTCCAAATGGTATTTGGCCTTTAAGAAAATAAAGGCACTGAGATTGGCCAGAAGAAAACAAAACCCTTCCACTGGTTGGATCTACCTACCTTATTTCAGGGTCCTTACGAGGGCCCAAGGATATGAAGGTGCATGTTACACTCTACAGAGACAGGTGATTCTATCATGGCCATTATTGTTTTCTAAAGAATGTGATCAATTTCTGAGGGCAATGCCAAATGAAAAGTTTCAAAAAACATTTTGATTAATGTCAGCAATATTGAACACTGATATATATTGCCAGCATGTATCAGCAGGCTTCAGAACAGGCAGCATATCTTTCACTGTGATATTACTTCCTTATATATTACTTTATATACTGGTATAGTGGGTTAAATGGTGGCCCCCCACAAAAGACATGTCCATATCCTAATCCCTAGAACCTGTGAATGTTACCATATTTGGAAAAAGGGTCTTTACAGATGTTATTAAGTTACAGATCTAGAGATGATGACATCATCCTGGATTATCTGGGTGGGTCCTAAATCCAGTGACAAGTGTCCTTGTAAGAGACACACAGAACAGAGACACACAAAAGAGGAGGAAGCAGTGTGACCACAGAGGCAGAGATTGGAGCGAGACGGCCACAAGGAAAGGAACACCCGGAACCACCAGAACCTGGAAGACACGAGGAAGTGATTTTCCCCTGGAGCTTTCAAAGGGAGCACAACCCTGCCTTTTGGACTTCGAGCCTCTAGAACTAAGAGAAAATAAATTTCTGTTGTTTTAAGCCACTGAATTTGTGGTAATTTGTTACGGCAGCAATAGGAACCTAATACAATTGGTAATATTACATTACCTAAATGTCCTAAAATACCTAATAACCTCAGTGTCTTATATATGAGGATTAGATGTTTGATTTCAAGGAAAAGAAACCATACAAACTAACTCAAGCAAAATGGGATTTCCTGCAAGAAAATTTCCTCAAGGAATCCGTGGAAAACTAACCAAGCCTGAGTAGGAGCTCTAGGCCATCAGCCCCACCTAGTAACCCCTGGGGGTCTGCTTTTTTCCTGTCCCGTGACCAAGTCAGCCACGTGAGTCTCTCTTCCAAATTCCCAAGAAAGGGCTCTGAATGACCCGGCTTGTATTTGATATCCACTCGCTTGACGCGATCAATTGTCAGGGGAGCTTCAAGCAATTTGTAATTTGCTTGTTTGAGCTTTCTACTAAATAGCTCTCTGCTATGGCTTTTAAGTCTCAAGAAATTAATGTGCTTTTCCTTGAGAGTTTGCATTATTTTTTAAATTGTGGTAATATATACATTTTACCATTTTAACCATTTTAAAGTGTACAGTTCAGTGACATTTGGTACATTCACAGTGTTGCGCAACCATCACCACTACCTAGTTCCAGAACATTTTTATCACCCTGAAAGAAAACACCTTATCCATATTAAGCAGTTACTTCTCCATTTCCTCCTGCCATAGTCCCTGGTAACCACTGATCTGCTTTTTCTCTCTATGGACTTGTCTTTTCTGAACATTTCATATAAATGCAGTCATACAATATGTGGGCTTTTGTGTTTGGCTTCTTTCACTGAACATAAATGTTTTCCAGGTTTATCCATGTTGTAGCATATATCAGTATTTCATTACTTTTTATGGCCAAGTACTATTCCATTGTGTGGATATACCACATCTTGTTTGTCCATCCATTAATTGATAGATGTTTGGGTTGTTTCCACCTTTTGGCTATTGTGAATAGTGCTGCTATGAACATTTGTGTACAAGTTTCTGTTTGAGTACCTGTTTTTAATTCTTTTGGGTATATACTCAGGAGTGGGATTGCTGAGTCGTATGGTAGTCATATGTTTATTGGAGAACCACCAAACTGTTTCCACAGTGGATGCACCAGTTTACACCCCAATAGCAATGAGTGAGGCTTCCAATCTCTCTCCATCCTCACCCAACAATTGTTGATTTCTGCTAATGAGTATGGGGTTTCTTTTTGGAAACAAAACAAAATTTTTTTGATCAAAATATTTTAAAATTAGATAGTGGTGATGGTTGCACAATTCTACATATATGCTAAAATTCATTGAATTGTAAACTTTAAAAGTGTGAATTTTATAGTATGCGAATTTATCTCAATAAAGCTGTTATATTAAAAAACAAAAAACCCAATCCTTCCTTATACTTATTCATTGAGCTAATAGATAAAGTGAGTTCTTGGAGAGACACAGAGATCTTCTGTTTCCACTTGGGAAACTTCTTTATGTGGCCTCTCTATTAATTTATTCATCTTGTTATTTTAACATCTGTCAAATTTTTCATCGAATTACCACATCTTCCTTCTCAGGCACTGCTGTCCTGATTTAGGTAAAAATCGGTGGAACCCTCTCAATTCTAAACGGATGAAAGCAGAGCTTTTCTGGTTGGAAATGATGTGGGGGATCTGGTATGTTAAACATATACTTTCATATGTAGTCTGATTTTATTACATAATAGATAATAAAACAAATCTTTTAGCTGGGACTTTTTCTGAATAATAAGGAATATTATTAGATCATAATCTAATAACTTCCTCTGGCTAAAACCATTAGTGGGGCTTAAAAGAAAAAAACAAACAAGTCTTGCCCTGTAGCATAATGATAAATAAATATAGCTTCTAACACTATAAAAGAAGATGTATCTTTTAGAGGGTTTTGTGGAGCACTCCCATAAGATAGGTGGATATACGGTGCTGTGTAGAACATCTTAACCCACACATATACATTTCCTGCTTTCAAAGAGCTTATACCTCCTTGGGAAGTTAAGCGTTACATGAACAGTTTAATTAAATGGTGTAATGTATGAAAAGCACATGCTTTTGGTACACATTAAATGAGACCACCAGAATTCATTTACTTTCATTCACTAAAAACTTTTTAGGTGCTATCTAGGTACCTAACACTGTGCGAGACTTGGGGATTACTGTGCTAAACAAGATAGCCATGGTCCCAGGCCACCTAAACAGCAATGTAGAGCAATAATACAAAAGATGTCACAAATCAGTATAAGACTAAGTGCAGTAGAGGTAGATAAGTTTATTCCTTAGGATGAAAAAGCCTTGGAAAGCTCCAGGTACAAAGTTTGGACTTGTTATCTGTTTGTTAAATACTCCAGGGTGTGGCTCTTGCCTCTAGTTGCAGCAGCACACAGTCACTCAAGTCCACAATACACACATCCTTCCAGGTAGAGCTGGGCCACTTGTGATGGAAGATGAGTAGTAGTCTGGGGCCTGGCTAGGGCTATTGACAGCTGCTCCCTGTGCCTTCCCTCTACAAAGCAAATAAGCAAGATACACAGTGAAGTTGGTGGTGGTGGTGCTGGCCCATGGAGAAGGGTTTATAAACAAAGATGTTACTGGAAGCCTTCCCACTCATGGTCCCAAAGCCGCTCCAACATGCTGAGAATTTACTAGTCTTAGAGCTGCACCTGGTAGAGTCTGCTATCTTTCCATCAGTTCTCCAGCTAGTAGGGACAAAGCTGTGGCCCTGCCAGCTAGTCACAAGAAGATACAGAGGTGGAAGTATAATTATGGACACAGCTCCTCCGCCTCTGAGTACCAGCTCCTTCTACACACACCCAGCAGGTTGAGCTTCCTTATTTTCTTCTTTCAGCCCAGGCACTGAGACATATTTGTTCATAAATGTGCCTGAACTTCACAACCTTAACTCTCCTTACTGAAAATGCAGGGTGTGCTTACTTTCCCTCCTCCCCTTTCTAGGATGTCCAGTCCACTCCCTTCTACCCAAGACCAGCATACTACCTCAAGAACTTACATCTTATCTCATTTTCCTGCTCAAGGCTGCTAGCTGTTTTATACATTATTGAAGAATTGCACAATCCTAAGCAAAGAGGCTGGAGATGGGGAGGAGGGGGTGAGAACAGGGATTCTGTCCTAATATCAGGATCTGGAGTCCCTGGAGGGTGAGGGGCTCTGTAACAGAGAAGATCATTACTATTGCTGCAGAAACTGTCACTTTAGAACAGCAGTTTTCAGAATGTAGTCAGAGAACCCCCGGAGTCCCCAAGATCCTCCCTCTTCCAACTACTTGTCTGTAAGAGGCCACGATTCAACCAAAACATATCACGACAGATTGATTGCAGAAGCAGATACGAGAATCCAGCTGCCTTCTATTAAGCCAGACATAAGAGATTTGCAAAAAAGTAAATGCCTCTCCTCTCAGTAACTTTTTTTTTTTGGAAAATATAGCTTTGTTTTAAATAATGTTATTTACGCTAACGTAATGTATTTTTGTTGTTAATTTTAAATAAATTAATAGTTATTTTTACAGTTTTGTTTTCACTTTAAGACAACAAATATTGACATAACTCATGTAAAGAGAGCTCCTTGGAGTCCTCGACAAATTTTAAAAGTGTAAAGGGGTTTTGAGATTTAAAAATTTCAGAACCGCTGCTCTAGGGCTTCTCTTGACCCCCATTTGTTCTCTGTCCTGCTCTTCCCAAGGGATCTCACCAAGACCCATTGCTTCAACTATACCATCTCTGCACTGGTGATGGGCTGCGGGCAGCTCATGAGCTTCTGTGTGCTGCTCTGCAAGGACCTGGAGATGAGGGAAATAAGATTGCCCCTGAGGGTGGAACTGGATAAATCCATACACAGCAGATGTGAGCAACCGTTTCTTCATTCAACAAATATTCGTTAAGCACCTACCCTGTGCCATGTACAACTGTAGACATTGGGGTTACAGCAGTAAGCAAAACAGAAAACCTCTGAACACTCTGTTGGGGTATATTGGGAGAATATAGAAGAGTATAATGGGAAATAAAGCCATATGTAGAAGTAATACTAGAAATTATCTGTAAGAGCTGGACTTTATGAAGTATTTGGGATAACCCAAATTCCGCGTTCCTTTCTCCACAAGGTTCCCGAAGGTGATATTCAGACAACAGACAATGATAAAGGAAAGCAAAGCAATGTGACGAAGATTGTGTGTGGATGTATGTGTGTTTTCCTAATAAATTATGTTCCCGAGTAGCCATTCTGCTAGTAGGCCTCTGGGCAGAAGGTGTTTACAAATTTCATCTTGGCCAGGAGGCAGATATGATGCAAAAAAACTTCCTGCAGCCACGGAGTGGGGGAAGGAGGACAACCAGGAGAGCAGACTTTAGGATTGGCAGCTCAAGGGCAAGACCAGACTGGCATGCTGGCAGCACAGGTTGGTGACAATCCAGACGGGAAAAGCATGGGCTCTGAGCCACTGTGAGGTCACCTAAGCACCACCCTCCAGAAACCATCTTGAGGAGGAAAAGAAAAAGGGAGAGAAACAGCTCTAACAGGGAGTTATGACCTAGAATGAGACCATCTTAAGTTAGAAGAGTGAGATACTTTAATTGGTGATTTTAAGTTTCATTTCCAACATTTTCTTTTTTTTTTTCTGAGGAAGATCAGCCCTCAGCTAACATCCATGCTAATCCTCCTCTTTTTGCTGAGGAAGACTGGCTCTGAGCTAACATCTATTGCCAATCCTCCTCCTTTTTTCTCCCCAAAGCCCCAGTAGATAGTTGTATGTCATAGTTGCACATCCTTCTAGTTGCTGTATGTGGGACGCGGCCTCAGCATGGCCGGAGAAGCGGTGCGTCGGTGCGTGCCCAGGATCAGAACCCAGGCCGCCAGTAGCGGAGCGCGCGCACTTAACCGCTAAGCCACCGGGCCGGCCCTCCAACATTTTCTTTGCACATCTGAGATATAGTGCGGTAAAGTTTCAATCTGGCTGTATTAACATTTTATTGTTCCTGGGCTTGTGTGCGAAATTCTGAGGCAAGGAACTCTGGCAAGAATGACTCAAGTAGACCCTTCCTTCTCCTTAAACCTAAACCCAAATGTTACTACCAGTTGGTCACATGAGAGATGGGAATTGAAGAGAAGAGATGCCAGAAGGAAAAGAGAACAGGATGGACAGGTCTTTTCTCCGGAAGGAAATGGTTCCCATCTTCCTTGCCACTTCGGCGCCGTGGAAGGAGAAAGCAGAGGAGAGAGATCTGGCCACTTAACAGCATGCATACAAGTAAGAGAAGAGAGGGCTAGAGAGAAAAACAATGGGGGCTGTCTCCTTCTATGCTGGAAAAGTTCTGGCCTTCTGACAAGATCAAGAAGAAAGAAAGAGAGCCCCACTCTCATGTGGCCCAATCCTTGTTCCAGAATAACCCATCAGATTAGGGTCTCCTTTTTGGAGTGGGAATGAAAACAAGGATCAGAGAAGAGCCTGAGTAAACTCCCTTCTCCTCATGCCCAAATCATAGCGGCCCTGAAAGTTAGGCATTTTAAATAGGCGTATTAACCAAGACTCAAGGAAAGAAACTAAAGCCACGTGCCAAGTAAGGAGCAGAGCCAGATTTTGAATCCAGGTTTGTCTGTTTGTAAAGTATAACCAGTTTCCAGTGAACCATGCCACTGCTCCCCTGAACCCCGCTCCCCTCCACAGTCAGAACCTGATTTGGTTAGCGTAGGTAAGCTTTCTCGAGTCTTGTAGTCTTGTGTCCTTCCCTGCCCTGAGATATGAGGTGCAATTGCTTGCCCAGGAGGACCACCCCTATAGTAATTATTGGTTCATTCAGCTGATATTGATTGAGCTTGAGGCCTTTCCTCAGTTCTGTGTCGTGGAATCACTTCTGTGTGATCCAGTTTCCTGAAATGTGATATGCAGTTAAATGGATCCAGCCACAGGAGGAGAGCTGATTGAAAGGTCAGGTGGTAGAGGAGGGGAGGAGAAAGAAGCCCCACGTTCAGAAGCCCTCAAGCAGCTGAAGTTCCTGGTTGAGAGCAGGACAGGGACTGTGTTGTTTACCCAAAATCAGATAGTGGCGATGAGGCCTTCCTTTGCTGTGTGTGACTTCTCCTGGACTATTTGCTGATGGAATCTTGTTCCATGGATAGATTTTTTTTTTTTTTTT